TGCAGGCCTTGCACAAGCCCCAGCGCCTGCTAATCCTGCAGGGCTGCTGCTGTGGGTTGGATCCATCCTGCTCCTCCTGAAACTGAGTTAGAGCAGTGAATGTGCATGCTATTGCTGGGTTGTGGGCAGACAGACTGCTCGGGCACACCTCTGGATGGGAAGGCCCATGTGCCTCAGTTTCCCTTTGTGAAGCAGGAAAGCCTTACCTGCTTGTGCTGCAGGGTGTTTGGGCCCGTGGTGGCTCTCCCTGGACAGTGTCAGAGCCCAGCTGCAGGTTCCCCAGGCTATATGTCCAAGCAGTGCTGCAACATCAGCAGTACTACAGTTTCAGGGTGTGTGCACCGTGTGTGTGCGCTACGATGCTCTCGTGGACAGCAGTCTGATGGCATGGGCTGCTTGCTCCAGCAAGGAGAAAACACACAGGCTGCAGGCTGGGATCTGTGGGAAGCAGTCCCCATCGATACAGGGTGCTGGCTGGGGGTTACTGGTGAGTTCTGCAGCCCCTCTTGCTGCTGTATTGATGCAAATGCAACGCAGAGCCCCGTAAGTCAGCCAGGCGCACGCAGAGAAAGGCAGGGATGGATGGAGTCGGTGTCAGGGCAGCAATTGCTTATCATGCCTTATCTGGGAATATGAAACTGTATTGCATGACATCCAGAGGCAGGCTGAATAGATATGCCAATTCATCTCGAGCCCGGGCTTTGACAAGCTAGACTGCCCTTGTTGAAAGGCATCAGTCAAACAAGAGCTGCTGGCTGCTTTTCCCTTTCTTATACTTTCCCTCGCTCTCGCGCTCCGTCTCCCTCTCTCGCCACCTCCCCTCCCTCCTCCTTTTTTTCTAAGCTGTTTCCACACCAAATTGAAAAGCTTTGGAAATAATAATAATAAAAGCCCCCCAAACTAATACCGTTTTAAGTACCCCCCTCCCTCCCCAAATGGGATTGATAAAGAACCCCAGTGTATGAAGGCATGTTTAGATAACATTGAGAATATTATAGCGGGTGAGAGAAAGTAGGGGAAAAGCTTCTTGCCGCGTCTAAGCCGGGAAAAGCGACGGCACCCTGGCTAATACGAGTGTTTAATATTTGATGTGTTGGGATAAAGCAGGATCACCTTCGAATTGAATTGAGTGTCAGAATGAGAATCTATTACTGAAATTCTTGTGTGATTTGACAGCAAAGCAGACGATGTTATTCTTCACTAGTTACCGCAATCTTCTCTCCTACATCACTTAAATATTTTTTTCTTTGCTTGAGTAAACACACATTATCCTTTTTTTCCACCCCCCTTTCCTTTTTTTCTTTCCCTCTTTTATACTTTTTTTTTTAACGTTTTTTTTCCCCTTAAATCAAACCTGCCTTTCGCAGGGCCGATGGAGCAGATTGTTATTTCTTTATTTGTCCTATTAAATGGAATTCCTGATCGTTTAATCCCGCTTTTGTAAGTGATTTAAAAACACTTGAAAAGCTGTGAATGCAGCAGCCCTGCTGACTAAACTGCTTAACAGGGACACATTGCACCTGGGCTGGTGCGGCATGGGGGAAATTCCTTGCCTGCCGCGGCCAGGCTGCAGGGGATGCTGTGCTGCAGAGTGCTGGGGGACCAGCTTTCCTCCTCGCCCTCCTGCTCCTTACCTACTCCCATGTATGTGTTTTCAGCCCCAGCCAAGCTGTGTGGTTTGGCCTGGGTGGTGTTCATTTGCCCTTTCATCGCGCTGGTGAGTTTGCATGGCAAGGAATCCCAGCAAGATATTTCCTGCTCCCCTCCTTCCTGTAGCTTGCAAGCAATAATATGGGATGGCCAGGGACCCGCTGCCCCAAAGGCACTCTCAGCCCCAAAGCCGTAGGACGGAGTGGCACCAAGAACACTTTAAGCTCTGTTTCAAATCCCACTTAGCTGCAGGCTCGACCTCCTTTTTCCTTCCAACACACAAAGTAATATAAAACCCTGACATCTCATCATGGAAGCAGCAGAATGAGGTGGGTTCGAGGGAAATGCTTATGTTGGGCATGTGGTTGACATGACGAGGGGAAGAAGATGCTTTTGCTGTCGCAGAGTCATTTTCTCTGTTGCAAGGATGTCAGGGGTCAGCCTCAATCCGCGGGCTGCTGTGCATAGGGGTCCTTCTCCCTCCACTTCCCATCCCCATCCTTCAGTATCTCCTCAGCCCACCCCGTGTCTTTGCTCCTGGGAGGATTATTCTGAAAGGAAGTACTTTCTCCCTGCGTGGTACATATGAATATTAAAATTACAGTTAGCGTGTTAAACGTTTAGAGACACCAGAAGGGTCATGGCATCGACATGGCAGAAAGGACAGGGAACATGGCACTGCCAGCCCCTGTACGGTGTCTGCTGAATGCTGCTGAGTGCTTCCTGTGAATAAATGATGGGGCATCATTGAGCCCACTTGGATCCATACATCAGCTTGGCATGTTCCAGTGCACGGAGCACACAGCATCTCCATGCCCCAGCCTGCTGTACCCCGAGTGCTGTCCCATAGCACCTCCCTGCTTTGCTTCCCCCCGTCTTGAGCATCCTGCAGTTATGCACGGTGTGAGTTACCCAAGGACTTATTCCCAGTCCTGTTAACGGGATGTGGATTATCTGTGGTGCTGGTTGCATGCGTGGAAATAGATGTCTAATGTCGGGCTGCTCTTAGCTCCCATTTATCAAGGAGGATCTGCTTACCTTTGCTTTGAGATCCCTGCGCCAGGGAGTGACCCAGGGCAGTATTTGTGAAGTGCTGCGTATGCCTATGGGATTGTATAAGTAAATAAATATAATTAATAATCATCTGACTTCAGAGGAGCATTGGCTGGGAGGTAAATGCGGCCTTCACAGAATTACAAGCAGAATCAGGAAAAAAGGGAGAGAATGGAATGGAATGGAAATAACTGAGTTCAGAGTGCTTGAAAATGATTCTGCAGGCATGTTGTTTTGGTGTTTGGTAGCAGATCAGAGGGGCTGAGTTCGTATTTGAATCAGAATTCTGACCCAAAATATTTTACGAGAGCTTTTGGAAAAGGTACCCACATTTTTTGTATAGTTCAAATGGAGATGAAAACAAAATCCTGCGGGGTGCTGCTCTCACCTCATAGGGCTCTGCTTGGTCCCTCCCGTGAGGGAGGAACAGATGGGTGTGATTTCCTGGCAAAAAGGGCAAAAAGCCACTGGTGCTGGCATTGGGACCTTGTGTCGGGTGCTCACTTTAACAGTCAGAAGAAGAACTTTCCTATTTAAAGATTAAACGTTGTCTTTAAATATTAAACAGCAAAGCTCTTCGTTCTTGATTGTGTGGCTGCTGCCGGCAGGCGGCTCAGAATTGCCAATTTTAATTAAAAAACTTTATTTTCGAATACAATCCACCACTGGCAGAGCTCCTTCCTGGCCAGGCTGGCTGCACTTCCCCCGGCCCGGCTGCTTTCTGCCTGCCCATGAGGTGACAGCAGTCACTGCACCGAGTGTGAGCGGCCTCAGCCGGACCGATCAATGCCCCTGGCACTTCCTTCCAAAACCCCAGGAAAAACAATTAAAACCCAATCGATCCTGCAGACAGCTTTGAATATGCATAAGTGCACACTTGACCTTCAGTGGTCAGGCCAACTTCTAGCCGGGCTGCTTAGCTAGTTTGCTCAGGTAGCGCGGCTGTACCAAATGACCTTGATTAACAAAGCAAAAGTGCTATGCAAAAGAGGTGCTGATCTGGGAGATCTAAGGTGTGGGCTTCTTGTTCTGTTCGCAGCAATAAACCCCAATTTTAAGCAGGAGGGAGGTGAGAAGGATGTGGGGCGCTTGGCCGATGGGTGTTAAGGCAGCCTTACCCTGTGCATGGCTGTGGCTTTGCTGAGATGATGTTGGAACGGTTCTCCTCACCAGGAGCCTGATGCTTTGCATTCACCCGCTGCAGCCCAGGAGAGGGAGCCAGGAGCCCCAGGCAGAGCTGCTGTGTTCGACACCCTGACCCCCAGAACTGGGTATGGGGCACAGCATCCCGACCAACACACGGCCACCAGCAATCCCAGCAATGAAGTTATCAGAGCGTGTTTGTTGAACGTGTTGTGTACACACAAAGTGTAATTTCAGTGAATTATGCATAGACTTAATTAGGAGTTTTAATTGCTAATCATCTCCCAACAGGATTAGCAATGCTGTCTATTAATTATCCGTGGAGCCCTCTGTTTTGCTAAGGCAGGAGCAACAAGGCAGCGTAAACCGTTACGGAGGCCAGCAGTGAATTCCCAACCCCAAAGCCATGGCTCCCATGGGGCAGCCATGCAGCAGGGAGCAGAGCAGGGGCACTGGGGGCAGCCCCAAAAGCAGGCTTTACTTTTGGAGCCCTGCTGCTCCTCCATGCAGTGACTGTATGCAGTGATGATCCCCGCTGCGGGAGGGAGATAGGCGCTGCGGGATTGACCTGATCTCATCTGGGGACAATGGCCTTCACGGCAGCAGAGATAGCACTGTGTGAGTTGTGCTAAGCCCACGTGCTGTTCTTAAGGCTCACAATGCAATTGTGAGCTTAATTCCTCAAGATGAAGGAGATAGGGAGCTCTCAGGCTGTAATTATGGCCGCATGCATGGTGCGGGGCTGGCCTGCTCTCCCACTGCTATTGTCCAGTGGGGCTGTGCCACTCGGGCAGTGGGTGCTGCTGCAAGAAGCTGTGGGGCACGAGCAGATTCTGGCTGGGTTACGGGCTCTATGGGGCCCAGCGGGGTTTCTTCTAGAGGTGAAGAGCCCAAAGGCTGCAGGAGTCCCAAAACACCCAGCCATGGAGCTGGGGGCTGCCTCAGGACCCCCACAGTGACACTCCTGTGCTAGCCTCAGTGTCAGGCCCTGGGCATCTCTGAAGTGGGACAGGCCTGCACCACCTCCTGGAAAGTTTCTTTAGGGGCAGTGTCTGGATCTGTGTTGAATATTGGGGACACAAACACACGTGTGCCCTCCAGAATGTATCTCATGTGCCCCATGCAACCTGTGACCTTCTGCTTCTCTCCTGCAGGCGTACAGCTTTGCCATGGGGAGTTGGCCAAAGAACGGACTCTTAGACATGAACAAAGGACTGAACCTACAGCACATAGGGAGGCCTCACAGCGGGATAGGTAAGTGACCCAGTGCTGTGTTCTGCCCGTCTCCATGGCTCCAAGAGCTGCTCAAAGCCAGGTGCTGAAGGCCAGCCAGAGGGCTGCATGGCCTCTGGCTGGCAGAAGGGAAGAAGATGCATCAGGTTGTGCCTGCAACACGATTGGAAAGGGGGAATGCATCCTGGCTCTTAGTCCCCCTGGGGAGTTGCTCCAGGGGTGCTGCAGCTGAGAGGGGATGAGTGCTGGGCTGGGAGCTCTCCCTGCTCTGGGGTGCTCTGAGGACTACAATTGTCTTTGGGGGCAGGGGCAGTGCAGGCTGTGGGATATGTGGGCAGCAGGGATCTGGCCCAGGTTCACCAGGCTGTGCCTCAGAGGGCTGCATCACACTTGCCTGCCTTGTGTCTGCCTTCCCTCTGCCTCCCAGCCCTTCATCCAGTGTGACTTGAGAGAAGTAAAGTTTGCAAGAAGGTAAGATTTACTTGGAAAAGTCACCTGCTACCTGGGCCTTGAGGAGGCTGTTTAATATTGTTTCAAGACTCTAACCATTAAACTCTCCAATCAATCCAAGTTAAGGAGATGAATTATTTAAAGCTCACCAGCTTTTAATTAGCAAGCTCCTTTTGAACTATGGATCTGGTTGCATTATTGACGGAGGTAGCATTAAAATTTGCTTCCTTGCCTGGGAGCAGAGTTGCCTTGCTGGTGTGCCACACTGGCGGTGATGGGGAGCAGGCTGGGACTGCAGGAGCTGTGTTCTGCCTTCTTTTGGGGCTTGAATCTTTCCTAGAGACTCTCTGGGGGATGCTGAGTTGTTTTATGCCTCATCTTTTGTTTTATTTATGGTGAGAGTGCTCTGTTGCTGTCATCTCCTACTCTGACAAAGCATCCCTAGTTATGGAGTATCATCTGTCTGCCCTTGGTTTCTGCCCGTGTTTATCTCAGTGCTGTCTTGCTCAGGTATGTCTCTGATTGAGTTGAAAGGTGCTGCTCACCTGCCTCTCCACTCCAGTCCTTTAGGAAGGCTTTGCTGCCTTGTCCTGGAGCAGGCATGTGTCCTGCAGAATTTCCTGCCCTGGGCTGCCCCTCCCTTCCTGGAACAGCCCAATCCATGCCCACTTTCCAGGGCTGCTATCTCAAGAAAAGAGTTAGGAACAGCTCAGCACATCTGCTTGCCTTTTACTTTACATAGCAGCAAGCCTGGACCTAGCTGTGGCTTTGGAAATGCTCCTGTGTTGTCTGGAGTCTCATTATTCCTTTGTAGGGTCCTGGGGTACAGCAGGGTTGAGAAAGTTGGGGGGCAGACTGGGGTCCCAGGGCTGCCCTAGGTGGGGGTCAACACTTGCTCTGATGGTTGCTGGTGTGCAGAAGTCTGCAAACCAGGGAGGGCTGAGAACTGAACAAAGACATGCATAATTTCCCCTTCTGGTTCCAGTATGGGAACTTCAGGGCTGGATCCTATATGGGAGCCGCACCTTGTGCAGCTGCCGCGCACGGGCAGGGAGCTCATGGTGAAGCCTGGTGGAAATCCAGGGCCACATCCCTTGGGAAATATGGCTGGGGCTTCCCTGATGGCTGGAGGGAGCTCTGTGCAGTTTAGGGCAGCAGATCCCTGCAGTGGCAGTGGTGCAGCCTTGCTCTCACATTGACGTCTCTCTATGGAGTTGCAGAGACTGATATAAATCAGAATGATTAAAATCACAGGTTTTAATTGAGATTTAAATCAGCCAGCAGGGCACCTGCTTTCAGTAATTGATTTTCTTCTATATTCACACTGTTTTTAACTGTTTCCCTAAAGAAAGGTCATGTTTTACTGACCAGCACCTATCAGACTCAGTTCAACTCTCCCAGGGATTAAACCTGGTTATTCTTTCTTACATTTAATGCAGTATATTTTCTACATTTATTTTAATCAATAATGTAACATAGTAAGCCTTTACTCTTAGTTTTTAGATTGTCATTACGTTAGAAAAGTGGTGCATTACTGTTAGTTATTCAAGAAGTGAGGATTAAAAGATTGCTCATGATTTCAGCCATAGTGCTTTTCGATGAAAATCAGAATGCTCTGTTGGAGTAACCATAAGTGGTTTAAATGTTTGTTGGTGACATTCTTCTTTTTCTACAAGCCTTTGTTGATTCTTGGCTCTGAGCGAGCCAGCTATTGAACTGAAAACACACTCAGAAAAGGGAGAAGTTTCCAAATATGCAGAAGAAGTCGCTGCTGTGCAAGTTGATTTCTCGTTTGCCCGCTCTGCTTTAACCTGTGGTGGATTGGCTGCCTGCAAAGCACGGTGAAAGTTCAGAATTCAGCCTGCAGATTCTTTCCATTTCAAATCTCAGGACCCGTGGGCTCAGGACGATGTCAGCATGGTCCTGGGGCCGCAGCACTGCTCTGTGCCATGGGGCCGTGCCAGCCTGGGGGAGCAGCCCCACAGCCCGGGGGTCAGCAGCCCTACCGTGCGCAGCCCTGCAGGCACCCGCGCTTCCCCAACCCCGACTTTCTCTTTTCATTTACTGATTGGAAATCTCGGAAGGTTAGGGCGTGATATTGTTCCTGATCCAGAGCATTAATTAGGCCTCGGATAGAAGAAGAGGAATTGCGTGTTTTTAACAGTGAGGTTAATGGGATGCTCGCAGAGTAGACAGTTTTAATGAGCTTCAACTCGACGTGCAGTGAGTTTACTCTTTGTGTTAAAAGGGTCACACTGCAGTAGTTTGATGTGGATTGTCTCCTGGCCCCCAGTGTCATAGGTGAGCATCTGTCAGAGTCCAGTCAGAGCGCATTTACTTAGTGACACGATTCTAATTAACTGCCGCCGGCTGCCAGCGCCCGCGGTGCCCCTGCCCTGCCCGCGTCCTGCTAAGTGCGGGGCGGGCACACGGATGGTGCCTGGAGCTGTCAGCACCCACTCTCCTCCTGCAGCTTCATTTCAGCCTGCTTTCCTTTCGCCTTTTCCTTTCTTCTCGGGATGCTCCAAGACCCTGTGCTTCTCTCTGGCACGTGAACCAAGGGGACGAGGGCAACGTTTTGTGACACTCCCCTCTGCTTTTAGCCACCTCTCACCCCAACCTCAGTGTGGCGCTGGGGACAGAGCAGGCAGATCCTGTCCTTTGGCTCTCAGCAGAGGCAGTGCTCTGCCAGTGCAGTACCGTGGGCACAGCATCGTCCTCGTGCCAGGGGAACCGATGGCGAGAGCTGAGCAGAGAACTGGGAGCTGCCCTGGGGCCGCTGCCATGAACAGAACGGGGCTCCCTCTGCCAGGCAGCCGGAGGCAAAAGAGAAAAGACTCAGAGTTAAATAATTAAAAGAGACTTAAGGAAAAGTAAACAGAAATGTCATCAAATGAGGGGTGTCATTCTGAATTAGTGCTGGTAAAGGTCAGGCAGCTCCAAACAGGTGCCGCGGTGAGGCACTGCGCCCGGCTGGCAGAGCGTGCTGCAGGGAGCGCAGCGGGACAGGGATGGGGACAGTGGGGTCCCACGCCCTGTGGGAGGGACAGGAGCCCGTGCTGGCCGGTCAGGGTCTGTCAGTGTCCAGTCAGTGCACGTTAACGTGCTGACATGGTTCTAATTAACTACCGTGAGAGGTGTCACAGCTGGAAAAGCAGGGAGCGGAGACGGGCTTTTAAAAAAAGAAAAAAGCAATGTGACAGTCCTCTTTTTTTTTTTTTTTTTTTCCCCTTTCTTTTTCTTTCTTTTTCTTTCTTTCTTTTTTTTTTTTTTTTTACTCGTGTGCTCTCTCCCCTCCATGTGGGAGTGGATCTAAAGATAATTAGGATGTCTGGCTGCCTAGGAACCTGAGCCAGGGCTCTTTTGCTTTCAGTCATTTAAGTTTTCGACATCTCTCTGAAGGGACTTGGTGGCGCAGTGGATTACTGCGCGCCAAAGTGACAGAACACTCTTCTAATCGTAAACCCTTTTTAGAAAAGATTCTGCTCTCCCTTTTTCCCCAGGAGCAGCGGGGGGTATGTTCTGATCACTGCAGCTCTGTTCCCATACACGCCACAATGGGAAACTCAAGGTCTTTCAGCTGTTTCCTGCAGTTAACAAAGGAGGCACAGAAGAAAGAAAGGAAAGATGATTGAGTGTTTGTGTTGACTGCAGTCACCCCTCTGTCCTACCCAGCCCAAAGTCGATGGCACACAGGGGCACGGTGCACTGCTGGCCCCGCTGTGCTGGGGATGTTGCTGGAGCAGTCCCGGTGTTCTGGTGGAGGTGAGGTAGTTACAGGGCTGTGGCTGCTCGGGACAAGCCCTGATGCAGTGCCATGTGATGTGATGCCATGCTCTGCAGTGCCGTGCCATCTCATGCCAAACCATTGCTGGCATACTGGGAGTGCGGGAGGGGCTGGTGAGGGTGTGATTTAGGGATGCTGTGTTACAAACCAGCCAGTCCCAACAGCAGGAGCTTGCAGGCCTGAATTAACCTGCACTGCAGAGAGCCCTATGCGCTGGCTCAGGACCACCCCACTGTTGGCTGTCTGTCTGTCCTGCAGAACATTCCTCCTGTAGGCACTTGTTCTGAAACAAGCAGCACTTGGTGCATTGTGCCACAGCCTCACGCACTGGAAGACATGTGGTAGGTGAGAGGCCTGGGAAGATCATTAACTTTCCAGAGAGCTTTTTCTGTAGAAAGTAGAGACGTAAAACACTGAGTGACATTTTGATTTCCCCATGGATTCTTTGGTGCCTTAGTGTCTCTCTGCGACATGTCCCAGACGAGGCTTGTCCTCTCTTACCTGTGAGAGGGGAAGAGTTTCCTGTTAATGAACATAAACGTCTCAATTAATAGCACGGAAACGTCTTTGAACTTCAAGCTGCGTGTCCCTGACCCACTGCTGGGGACTGGGTGGTACGGCCTGCCCTGGGACGGTCCTTACTTGGTGGCTCTCTCTGGTCTGCAGCGTCCTCCTTGCCATCCCCTTGGGCTGCCAGGATGGGGGGTGACTCAGGAGCACCTCCTGATCCTGAGGGCAGTGAGCACAGCTCCGTGCCCGTTCCTCCTGGCCCTAACGAGAGCCA